CTGAGTAGCCCCAAAAAACTTTAAGTATTTAAAAGAAAGTGATTCTTTTCACTAAGAACAAGACCTGCCGCTAGACGTCACATTCATGTGAAGACACCAAGGAGAACAAATGGCTTAAAGCAATCACGAGTGCAAAGACCTAATTCCTCTTTTTGGGTCTGTTTTCAAAAGTAAACTTCTGGGACAGGGGACTTCTCTTGGTATCTGCAGGGACCAGTTTTGGTGTTTAGCCATCACCACCCTGTGACAATCCACAGGCACAGTGGTGCTGGCCTCCATGAGGTATCTGAACTTGGTTCAGCTGCACAAAACATCGATGCCAGCACCTGGTGAGGATTACCAGTGAAACCCTTATATATACAAATATGCAAAACAGCAAGAGAAACCGAGTTATTTCATTTCAGGTGCGCACAATCTGCTCCAAGCAGATCACAAAAGAGAGGGCAGAGCTCAAAAAGAAAAAGCATCTCTTTTCTTCCCCTTCCCTAAATGGTCCCCGATATTATGAACTTGCAACAAGACACATACACACGTTGGGCTTTGCTGGGAGGGGGTGAAGGAGCTCCAAGGGGAGTGGATGGGCTCGAGAAGGAGCTGCAGGACAGGCTCCAGCCCACCCCAGACAGTGCTGGTTGCTCCCCCGTCCCCCCTTGCTATGGGGCTGGGGGAAGCAGCGCAGCTGGGAACACATTATCAGGGCTGGGCACACGGTATTTCTGCATTGCCCACAGCCACCGTGCACGGACAGGATCTAAGCAGAGGCTCATTCAAAAAAATGCCATTATAGGAATCAAAATTCACGGCGAGCTGCAAAGTTATTTCCTTTTGGTTGTGCCCCAGATCAAACTAGCAGCAAGAATTTGAGCCGTGCGTTAAGCAAACACCCAGCAGCCGCCCAGCCCCATCACCGGGACCCGTCAGCCTGCTCGAGGGACCTGGTGGGCACCCAAGAGGGGTAGTTAGCAGGGACAGCGGCAGTGGGTGGTGGTCCATCAGCCACCAGCTATGGGACAGGCAGAAAAGGGGTCGCCAAGGCCGGGGCAGTGTTTCAGAGCCCCATTTCAGAGCTGAGCAGTGCTTCACAGGGTCAGAGCTGAGATATTTATTGGGTGGCAAAGAGCCGGGCTTGCACGGCTGGAGCCAAAAGCCCCTGCCAGCACGTTACTTAGCCTTCGCAAACATGGTTTTACGGGAGTGTTACAAGAAGGACAGGGTGTGTGCGGACTAGATGGGTTGCAAAGCCTGCCCCGAGCTCCCTGCAAAGGCAGACAGCAGCGGAAACTTCTCCGCTGATTAACCCCCGAGCTGCCCAGATGGGAGGGCCGGACTGAAACGGAGCCGAGCAATCCTCCACTCCAGCCTCTGAATCTGTGCACCTGGTTCACTTTGCCTTTTTTTTTTTATCCCTCCTTTCTCCTTTTTATTTAAGAAAAAAGCAAGCTCTCACCCAACGACCTGGTAGGTTTAGCCCTGGCTGCCTGCAGCGTCCATGTGCCAGGGAAGGGATGCCAAGCCCTGTGCCGTCTCCATCCACGTGAGCAGGGAGGGACAGACGGACACAAGTCACCACTGCTTCGGCTGCGTCACACAGTGAAGGCGGTAGCTCCCCAAAGGCAACGCAAACAAGCCCTGTGCAAGCACTGTCCCAGGACAGACCGCACCAAGCATCCGAGGATGGCAAGAGGCACAGGGAGCACACGGATGGTGCCACGTGGGCATGGTGGGGTCCTCTGCAGTTGGGTGCGGACGTCCCTAGTGCAGGTCCCGGCAGCACTAGAAGCCACTGCCCTTGCCAGCCGTGCTCGCCATCACCTCCCAAAGAAGACAGAGGCACAGCAGCAAGGACCTCAATGCCATCCCCGCTTCTGCAAGGGACCACGGGCTGCCTGCTTTCGCAGGGGCACAAATCTGCACTCAACCTTGCGTGACAACCCCATGACATGGCCTCTGAAGCCCTTGTCCTCCAAAATGAGCATGAACCTCTGCCACCAGCCCTGCCACAGCAGCTCCACCCAGCAGGAGGGGTGGCCAGGCCATCCATTCGTGACCACAGGCAGCACTGGGGAAAGCCCAACCGTGATGACAAGAAACATAACTTGGGACTTCACAAGGGAGAAGAAAGGAAACCCGACGCCTGCTTGAGTTCTCAGAGAAGCAAAATTTCCCATCTACTTCTCCCTCCCGGTGGGGTTTGTCCCCCTTCACTCATTCCTCAGCTTATCTCCATCCCACGACAGGAGGGGACGCACGAGTCAGACCCCGGCTCCGACACTGGGGCAGGAAAGTGCAGCCCCCGACCCACGGCCGGGGAGCGAGCGCTGGCCCCAGCCGGGCTATGGGGCTACGGGGAAGGAGGCTCAGCGCAGGGCTCAGCGACAACGGCCTCCAACCGCCGGGCTTGCTCGGATATTGGAAACACATGTTCGTTGGAGAGAAAGAAAAAAAGCAGCTGAATATCCGCACAATTGCTGTTAGCCGGCGGGTGAGAGAAAGCAGAGCACATGGCTGGAGAGGCTCCCGTGGGGGACAAGGGGACAGGGGTCCAAACCACTGCCTGCATGGCCCAGGAAGGGCAGCTGCCACCACCCAAAATTTGCAACCTCTGTGCAGGTCATGTATCTGCAGGGTCTAAGCATTGGATGCGCTTTTAAGAGTTAAAAACTCAACGCCATGACAAAAAGCTTGAGCGTAGCTAATGCTGCAACACTCCGACCTGCCGAGGCAGGGTCTGCAGATCGGGGCTGAGATAAGCAGGACCAACACACTAGACTGGCCTAAAAATGTCAACTCCCTTTGAAATGTTTTCTGCTTTATCATATTAAACCATAAACGTTTCGTCGGCCTCTCTACTCCCAACTGACAGCCGGTTACACAAGAAGAGCATAACTGGCCCATGCAGTCATTTTATTCCAGTGAAGGATGCATTTTTGGTCTACCCACTGACAGAAGCAAAACAAAGTCTTTTCTATTCGAATAAATCTCTACATGGGGAAGAGGAAAAGGCTGACATTAATACAGTGCTGGCGGCTTAAGTTTACTTTTGAAAACAGACCCAAAAAAATCCCCACGCAGACAGAGCCAGAAGTGGAAAGAATTGACACAAATCAAAAAAAGGAAACTTAGGTCTCGTTTTATGTTGTGATACTTCAAGTCACATTTTTCAAGACACTTTAAGCGCCCCAGATTTTCACTGCAGGCTATGTGCCTAGGAAAAAAACAGAAAAAGAAAAAAACTAGAGCGAGATCTGGGCCTTTGATGCTGTCACTTGAGAAGTGCCAGAGCCAGCAGAGCTCTGTGCTGAATAAACCGCATCCCACTGGCAGACTAGTCAAACAACCTACAAAACACCCTGAAAGGGTGAAGGTGTTCGCTCCCTCAGTAGCACGAGGAAAACCAGCTTCTTCCCTTACAAAGGCAGGGGCAGAGCAAAAAGAAATTAATGTTCTGTTTACAAAGGCAGCCTTTCCATCCCATCTGAGAGCCCAGCGACTGGTGTCCATCCTCGGTTGAGCAAGCAAGGTGACCAAAGCAAAGCATGCAGCTCCCTGGAGCTCAGCAAAGCTTTGATGGCCCCTCGGAAGGGGAAACACCACATTTCTCTGGGGTACAGCAGCTCTGCTCTGTTACTACGAGGGCTCCAGATACTACAGCCCTAGGAAGGACAGTTTCACGCTGTCCTCAAGCTCCTCAAGACCCCAGGAAACACGGGGGGACCCCAAAGATGACCCTGATGGCTGAACTGCCTGAGACCGAAGGCAGGAGAGGAAAGCCCCAGGGGCCTGAGGGAGGACAGCAGGGTACGTACGAGTGGCCAGTGGCTGGGATGAAGTATATACAGCAGTGCACCCGCGTGTCGGGGATCCGCTTCTTCCGGTTAATGTTGATTTCCTCCTGCAAGTACTTCTCATACTGGTCGTTGATGAACTTCATGATGGGCTGCCAGCTGCAGAGAGAGAGGAACACGGGATGATGGGTTTGTGTGAGGGATCTGGATCACCCTGAATTTCCCACTGTGTGAAGCAGAGCCCACTGAGCCGGGGATGCTCAGGATCTTACAGAATCCCATAAAACAAACAAACAAACCAAAACACGCTCACACGGGAAATGTTTCAGTTCCTGTCGGCTCCCATTCATACAGCGACTGCGGGCGGCAGGGAAATCACAAACCTCGTGCGTTCACTGCTCGGCTACTCCACACATCGCAGCAGGAGGGGATTTACTGGCTGCTTTAGACAAGTGCATACCTAAAAAGTCCTCCCTTCTCTCCTCTGGACCCGACTGCTGAGCAGGGCAAGGCCAGGAGCACCCCTTGGCTCCTTGCACAGTGTCATGGCACAGGAGCAAGAGCAGCATCAAACCCCACAAGCCCAGCCCAGTTCATGGTGAGGAGAAGGCACTGCCATCGGCTGTCCTGCACTGCCAGTCGCTGGCCCAGGGACCCCTAGCAGAGCTCAGCCTTCAGAGCCACATGAGTGAGGTCTGGGGACTGGCCACACCAGCACACAGCTGCTCCCGGCCGCAAACAAAGGTTGTCTCATGCCCGGAACAGCAGGATGTTTGTGGGCTCTCACAGGGTCCAGGATCAGCCCCGGGGAGCATGGCACCGCGCTGCCACTCACAACAACCCTCTCCCCTGCTCCCCACGGAGCACGGGTGGCACAGGACCAGGCTACAGCCCTCGGCACCAGCCCTGGGTCAGGATGCCCCGGGGCTTGGCTGCCTTCCCTATGCACCGGTCCCCATGTCAGCACAGCCGGCTCACCAGTTCTCGTTGTTGATGTGGTCTCCAAAGCCCGGGGTGTCGATGACCGTCAGCTTCATGCGAACCCCTTTCTCTTCAATCTCTGAAACGGAGAGGAAATCTGGTGCGTGAGGCAAGCGCCAAAGGGTGCTGTGGCCAAACCCATCCTCCCAAAACTAGCTGGAGGGTTGGAGCTTGCTCCCGGGAGAGAAACACACCTTCATAGCTTCTAACAGACACAAATCAGCCCTCCAAAGGGATGCAGCACCACATCTGCCCTGAAACGCCACCCCCCACGGCCACCTCACTTGTTCCCTTCCATCGCAATTAAGTCAATGCTGATGGATAAAGAAAAAATAGATGTTTTCTCAGCACTGCAAGCATCTCTGGATGGTAAGAGCCCCTTCAGAGAGATGAGAGTGGAGGTTTAGTGGAGGTCCACAACCCCCACGAGCCCCCAGAGACACAAGGCAGAGCAGGACCAAAAGCCAAAGCACCAGGTGGGATCTGCAGAGCCTCACCATGAGTGATTGATTTGATTTCAATGGTCTTGGGGATCCGCTCTTCAGAAGTCGGCTGTACAGATTTCCGGCTGATTTTGGATTTGAAGAGGGTGTTGATTAACGTGGATTTCCCCAAGCCGCTCTGACCTGGAAAAAAGCAGGATAAACCACAGTCAGCACTCACTCGTTTCCGGGCTATTTTTTCAGGGGCCAGGGGATGGAGATGCTGACAGATTCAGCCTGCACCGGATCTGTGGGAGGGAGGTAAGAGGTGGAGCTGCTCCCCTGCAGCCCCCCTGGCTCAAGGAGCTCAAGTCCATCCCAGGCAGGAGGATGCTGTGGGCAGCAAGCACTTTCCCTGGCTCCCAAGCAGCCAGCTTGCTGGGAACAAGCAGGTCAAGAGCTGGTTCCTTGCATTCAGCTGAAATCAGAGCAACTCCAAAGACAGGCAGACATCGTCGGGGATGTTTTAAGGCCTGCGGTGACGCTCAGCAGCCCTGAAGAAGGGCATGGGGACCAGGGAATCCCAGCAAGGAGTATCCCGACACATCTGTGCCTCTACCTTCCTGCAGCCTCCCCTGTCCAGCTCCACAGGGAAGGCTTAGGAGCAGCTTGGCAAGCCCTTAGCTGGACAGGATTAACTGCAGCAACAGTCTTCCAAACCTTGGCCCTGCAGCATCCGCTGCTGCTTCCCTGCTGGAGTTGCTTTTGCAATCGGACCAGCTGCCCGCACAGACCCCTTTAAGTAGCTCTAGGCCAGGAGCTCCATGGAGTCCCACAAACGATGTCCCGGGAAGCACACCAGATTCCGCAACTTCAGAAAAAACAGCTTTTAGAGAGAAGCATTTTCATGCTTTACATCCCAGAGCTGAGGCTGATCTGTGCAGAAAGGACACCTGCAGCTCTCCACTCTCCACTCCAGCGGTCCCACAAGCTTGCAGAACAGTTTTTCCAGAGCAAAGAAAACAGAGCAACTCCTCAAAACCCAGGGAGCAGACACTTGGCTTCAGAGCAGATGTTCTGTGCCCCCTGCAATCACTCCAGAGCTCCTGCACCCATCATGGGGGCCCCTTCGGCTGAACCATGATACAGCCAGGTATCACGGCACCGCCGCCAGCACGTCCCTACCACCGCAGAGTATCTCTAAGTACAGACTAAACAAGGCTTCCATCCACGTCTTCCAGGCCCCTGGCCCATCCATGCTGCCAAAGGCACCCAACACTGAGCCAACGGTAGGGTCAAAGAGCACATCAGCACTGGGCATCACCTCCAGGCCAGCCCGCTCCCTCATCAAACAGCAATTTAGAGCTGAGTTTGCCACGCTACCCATGGCACGTCGCAATCCAGAGCAGGAAATCTCTGCTTGCCAGCCACTACCACAGCTGGGTTGTAGAAGAAACACGTGGATCAGGCTGGGGTCAGCTGCTCCCGGTCCTCCGCTGCCTGAAAACATGCAGGGCCAAGGGCAAAAACAGGTCTGGGGCTGTGAATGCAGACAGCCAAAGCGAAGCGCTCGTTGCACTGCTCATCATTAACTGGAGCACGTGGGGAGGTGGGGAAAGCGGGGCAACATGCTGCTAGAGCTCCTGGCCATCGGCTTCTGTGTTGGTACCTGGCCAAGGCACCGGAGCTGCACTGCCTGGAAAGGG